AGTCAGCTCAGCCACAGACAGAGGGGTCAGCTCTGGCCCCTGACAATCTCATTTCTCTTAGACTCTCTTCATAGCAGGGAGAGCTGCAGGGAGCTCTTAGCAGCCAAAAGCTCTGTCTTAGCCACTCTGCAAAAACATCTCCATGCCCAAAACATGTCTCAAGAGCTCTTTTAAGAGAGCAGTTAATATCCAAGCTTATATTTCAGGAGGGGGCAGGGCACCAGCAAGAAGCACTGACATTGAGCTATGGCTTCAACAGTTGATCGAAACAGTTTAATGCATTTCCATTTCCAGCTGCATGGATCCAGTGATGTTTCTTACTTATTTACAGTATCACCCCCTCCCCTGCTCCCCACTCTTGTGTTTGCTACATAGATAACAGAGGAAATTGATGCTGACTATTGCCTGCCTGATGTACAGCACTGCCAATGGGTTCAGCAGGATTTTAAAGAGGAATGAGTCAACAGTGTGTGACCAGGAATAACATTTGCCAGTGCATGAGCTTGAATAGGAAAACATATCTGTGCCCACCTGAACATTAGTTAAAGTGACAATGGCAACAGATGCCCCAGCAGGACATGTTCTGGCAGTCTTCCAGGTCAGGGCAGAGCCAGACCTGCTAGTCACCAGTCCTAAAGCAATGCCTGTGTCTAGGACTCTAAATGGCTCCTGATGCCAGTCTGCTTTCCTGATTACACCTAACATCCACTATGCTTTGAAGATAAAGCACAATAACCAACCTGCTGCCTAATGTGGCAGAACTTTATCTAAGGACAGTAAGTGTAATCCTTTGGAAATCAATCACAGATGATTGTGGGCTATTACTTTAGATCCAGAAGAGGTAAAATTCACAAGCCATGTTATTGCAGAGAACGAGATACTCAGGTGAATTCCTTTTCTAGTCTTTCTTCTTGCAAAGTTTCACCTGCTGTGTGATCCCAACATGGGAAACAGGGCCAACTTTCAGACTTGACTATTGAAAACAAAGTCAGCCCTATATAACTATCCCACTTTCCTCCTACTCTTCTTTCATTGGGCACTCAGACACCAAAACCTCTGCCAAAGACAAAAACGTCAGCAGTAAAAATCTGCTTATTTCATCTTCAGAACTTGGTGAAGTAATTAACAACTCAACAGAAGACACAGGTGCTCTTCTACCAGGCTTTGATGGTTATTCAAAGAGGGAGAGGCCATTCAGATGGTCAAGCATGGGCCTGAGACAGCAAGTAGTGAGTGCTGTGAAGGAGGATAAACCCATCTGCAGGAAAATATGGGAGTAGATGTATCGAGGATCAGGTGAGATGAGGAGTGCAGGGTTGAGCTGGACTTGGACGTAGCTGTGCAGTAATTTACGAGATGTTGATCAGGACTGGCAAAGCATCAGAGCTGACATAACATTATTCGAGCAGGAAAATATACTAGGATTGCAATTTTCATCATACTGTTTTATGAGGCTCTAACAGAGCAAATGTCATATTCACCATGGTAAGACAGCCATCTCCAGGGCTACCTCTAGCAACAGCGAGAGCTTAGAGTCACTACTAACCTTTGGAATTCCTGGAAATACTGTTTTGACCAGTCTTTTAGGTTACGTGGCTAATACAGGTCTTTCAATTTGTTGTTACGTACTTGCTAAATTAGTATTTAAGTAGCATCCTTTTTACTGATCCACGCATGCTTTCTTTCCTCTTCTCATACATATCAGCTCAAATGACACTATTGTGTTCCAAAACCCAGACTGCTGCACATTTTCAAGCCCAGTGTCTGTTTCATAGCCTTAGACTAGTTCCCCTACACAGGGTAGCCCAGCCCTGATTTTAAACACACCTCTGCAGAGGATTCATTTTTCTGCTGGGATTTTCTCAAGTACCTGGTTCTGAGAAAAACCTTGATAACAGCATCAGTGATAGCACTGATATTATTAACAGAACTCTGCCATTCCATTAATATTTTTATTTCAAGACTTCGAAGTGCTATGTTTATTATGCTCCACAAATCTTTGATGAGATGGGTCAGTTTTATTCTTGTTTTGAAGATACAGGAAAAAATGACAAGATATTGCCAATCCAAGTGTAGATTCCCAGGAGTTCTGACAAGTCCAGTCTCTTGCTCTAACCATTATACAACATTTCTTCATCTTAAGCACAGAGATATAAGGCTGCAAAGACTTTCATAAATATATTAATCTTTCAAAGCTCTATACTACAGACCAAGAAGTCCAGGGAACAGATCATCCATCCTGTCAGAGAGCTGATGATAGACAATTTCAGCTCATAAGCTAAAAGAAAAGCAATTTCTTCCGCTTTCTAGATACAAAAGGAAAAGCAACTTTTTCTGCTTTCTAAATACAAAAAAAATACTAAAAAGTCCAAACACCTTTTTTTTTGACAGCTGACTTGTTCTTTTTGTCTTCTTTTTCTCTTTCCACTATTGCAGTACAGTTGGAAAAGCCTATTTCTGGATCGGTTTGTTACAATACAGCACTATATGCATGAGGACGAAGGGAGAAAACCAAGGGAAAAGGGAAACACAGAAACAGGTTCTGACATCTAATCAGATCTGCTGTATTGATTTTGCAACTTTAGCTTTGGAGCAAATCAGAGAAACAGCCACATTACCATCCGGAAAGCGCTGCTCCCTGGAGCGAGGCGGCTCCCGAGGAGCTCCCGCGGCCCCACAAACAGGCGGCCGGGATGCGCACACACGCGCCGGCCCCAGGATGCGCATCCCTCCCGAGCCGCGCTCCGATGGGATGCGCGGGCCGCGCCAGGTGAGAGAAGCGCTCATCAGGGAGGCTGCGGGAGCTACACGATCCCCATCTCCAACAAGATGAGAATTCCAGAGCAAGCCACCGAACTAATGAGCTGCCCGCGCTGGAAAGCTGCGTTTCAATTAACCACAGCAGCCCCCGCCGCACCCACATCCTTCCAGCAGCATGCACAAGGAGGAGAGGGATAAACAGTGACTTGTTTCTGGGTCTATTTTCTGCATGAAGGGAAAGGGAGGAGGCTGTAAAAGGGACGAGGGCAATTCTTGCCCTACTTTCTTGGTTTGCAGTTTGTTTTTTGTACTAATGGAAGGAGCAATTGACAGCACTGAAACCAAAGCTGCCTGCTGAGGCACAGACCAGGCAGTGCCACCATAATATCCTTCCATGTTTTTCAGGAAGGAGATAGCTCAGGTGTACAAACATTCAGTATGGACCCAGCTTCCACTAAGGGTACACAGAACTGATTGACAAGGGAAGGGCTGTTTGGGTGGGCTGGCACATGGACTATATGATCATTACTTGGGCAAAATCACAAAAAAGCATTGCATGGCCATGGGAAAAGCCATAGGAAGAGCATGTTCAGCTACCCTTTACACAGAAGTTCACTACGTCTTTGCTTTCTTGAGGGTCACATCATAGTCTCCACCCCAGACAGCTTCTGGCTTGCACCTACCATCCTTCTTGTGTGGGAAATCATGTCCTTCCCCTTCAGACCAAGGTTCAGGTCTGTGATCCCCCTCCAGACCGCCTAGCAAGACTGAATTCATCCTAAGCTCAGCACTGCTGCTCCCTCTGCAGGGACAGTGAGGGTCAAGCGAGGTCCATACGCCTTTCACACAGCAACACCAAACCGGGGACACCAGCAGGTCTGATGGTTCTTTGCTCCAAAGTGAAATTTTCCTGTATCTCTCATCATCTCTTGATGTGACCAAGAGTTACCTCCTCTGCCATGTCCCTCCAAGTTCCATATGATTGGAGCAGGCTGCCTTTCTGAACAGCTCGAACTAAGATCCACATTTTTACCCTGCTTAAGGGAAGCTTCTCCACACATACTTACCTGCCTTGAAATCTTCACACATTTCCCTATCTCATCCTTTAATCTAAGCCTGCCATGTTTCTGAATAGACAGAGATAATTTAAAAGGGGCTCTTCAAATACTCAAAGTGCTTACAGGATTTCACACACCTCTGTTATTGCTGTGCTCCCAACAGCTCACATCCCTGAGCAGTTTGTCTGCTTGGTTTCAGCCAGGTTGTCTGCTCCGGTCTCACTTCTCTTATTCCTGGGGAGCAAGCCTGGGAGAAGTGTGGCAGCATGTCTAATGAATGCTGCTGTGCTGGGTCTGGAGGCTCGTCAGTCACAGCCCACAGGCAGCATGCCCAGGTGTAAATTAACCTGTTCCCTGCCCACCCCACACCTGTCAGACCTGCACTACTCAGAGTACTCTGCCAGTGCTCAACAATCGCACCGCACTAATGGGACGAGATCTGCAGGGAGAGCCGCGGCATTTTATCTGGCTGCCTTCCCCCAGTCTGATTTGAAATCTTGTAAGAGAGAGAGCACAGACTGCTGCATGTCAAAACACACCTCAACAGCTGTGACAGCTGAGCAGGCACTCACTTCTCTGGAGGGAGAAACCACTGCAGGGAAAGGATGGAGATGTCACCCAATGCAGCATCTCACCCTCTATGTTCACCTCTGTGTACAGATACTGCCTTCAAGTAGAGCTGGGAGAGCCACCCATAGCTGAAATCACCCCACACACCTGCTAAGAATCAGTTTCCTGTTACTCACAGCCTGGTTGAAATGCATGAAAACCATTTGGGAGTATACATTCCCTGTTAGGTCTACCTATCACTGCTTTCCAGACAAAGTGATTCAGGCATATCCAGGGGTAACTAAGTTGAAGAAAGTGTTGTGGCATGGAAATAGTCTAAATAACATTAATTTTGTCCCTTTTTGACTTTACAAACTTACTAACATATCCTGAGGGTATTTTACACACATGTAATGCACATAAACACACCTGGGAAAGCTCCACTCATCCCCTGACAGGGAAGTAAGGAAGTAGAAACCATTGCACGCAAATATACACAACACCTCTCCCTTCCACTCGCAACATGCTTGCCATATGGTGCCCTGCCCTTAGCCTTGTGTAGCCTGACCAATTATAAACTGTTCAAAGGTCCCCAGACAAAAGAGATGCGTCTGCTCAGCCCAGTGAGAAAGGTCAACCCTGCCTAGCCCCCGGGCTTTTGTGTACACAGGCATTCAGGCAGGCACTCCAGCACTGTAGCTTGTACTCACACTGCACATTGAGCTGCACCAGTGCTTCCCGGGGTCTGATGTTGAATCCATTGTACCTGGCCGTCTGACACTTATAGGTTCCACTCATTTCCCGGCTCACACTCTCCAGGTGCAGCTTCCCATCGTAAGTCTCCATTGTCATTGTCCCTGAAGGCATGGGGGTTTCCTTATCTACCCGGGACCAGATGATGGGTGGCTTCGGCTTCCCTCGAACCTCGCACTGCAGCTCGGCCCTGGAGCCTTCCCGCACAGTGATGGAGGACTGGCCCTTAGGGACACTGATTGTTGGTGGCACTAAAAGAGAGACACAAGAAGGGAATAATTTTATACTGGGTTTCCAGCAAGTGAGGAGTATTCTTCAGATACTTCTGATTGAGTCACACCAACAGTCTTGAACTCCAAAGGTTTCCACTTGACACATTGCAACCCCTCTACAAACACACTGTCCATGCAAGTTATCCTACTGGGTCTGGAGCTTCAGGGTACCAAGGAAGATTCCAGCCTTTCCAACAATGTGTCCCAGTATCAATGGTAAGGGCCAGTTGTATTGGAGCAGACTCCAGGCTCCCATCCCTGTTTGCAGGGATAACATCAAGGAACACAAAGGCAAAAGCTCTTTGATCCATTTCTCAGTTTCTGGTCTGTGAATTTCTCAAGTGGAACTGCAGTCTTCCGACCAACAAAAGAAGTCATATCTGCCAAGGTATCTAGACCCCTTATCCAAGTCAGACCAAAACCAACACTTGAAGGGTAAGTGCTTGTAAAGCCCATCTCCAGCCTTCTCAGAGGTCCAAGATCCCTGTTCATTCCTAAACCACAGCAAGGAGTCAGTTCTGTTAAGTGTCTTTCCTTACATTACTTTTATTGCATATTTTACTTTTATTATTTATTTTGCTTTTATTGGTGAATGCACTGGGAATTTGTCACACCAATAAGGCTCTGGCTCATCTGAGAGATGGGTCCCAGCCACCATCACTCCTGGTATTCCTTCAAGGTAGGGAAGAGCTCACACAGCAGATTGCTGCCGAGCTGAGGCTAGCATTGGAGGCACAGTAACACTCAAAGAAATATCCAGCTATCAACTGAAAACCAAAACTTTGCTGATAAACAAAGCTTAAAAGAAATCCAGTGAATACAGTGTACAGAGATGTCAGTGGAAAGAGGTTTGCTGTTCATATCCCCAATTCCACCAAGAGCCCAGGAAGGGGATTTTTGTGCTAAACCACACGTAATATTGACAATTTATTTGTGCTAGACTTTAAAGTCAACAGTTCAGCTGAGGTAAATATGGTCACAATCTTTTCTGAAAGCTCCTTTTTCAGCCCTTCCTGCTGACAGTGGCAACACTTGGATTGACACTTCCATAACTGCAAGGGCCATGTACTTCGTTTCCATTTAAATCAAAATATAGGACTGCAGAAGCTGTAACAAGCTGGTCTGACCAACATTAGCTCAATTCAGCTCCAGCAAAGGAGAGTGTGTTATGGTAATTGTACATGTTACAGCCTGCAGCTCTTTATGAACAAATTTAGGATGGATCCAGTCTAATCTCCCTCTGCAGTGACCTCCCTATGCAACAGGGAGGCCACATTTTCAATTTGCAGGTCTCCTGTGGGCTGGGGAATCTCATCACACCCTGTCCTGCACGGTGTGAAAGGACGGCAGCACTTTCAGTGCTGACGCTGCCGGCAGCCGCTCACCTGGCGAGCAGCAATTTTCTCCACAGGTAAAGTTGTAAATTACATTTGAAGATTTTTTTTTTTTTTTTTAATTAAAGCTATCTCTTTGGAGCTGCTCGGTGGAGGCAGCCACTTTGATGAGCTCAAGGTTTGCGGTGGGGAAACATGGAACCACTTCTGCTGTCCTCTTCCTCAGAACCTGTAGTCTGGGGAAAACCTGATTTTTATATGGGAATCACATGATGGAGGTGGCTCATTGGTGATTGTGGGAATGCTGCATGTTAGACAGCTTTGGCTACTGCATGGAGGGCTGCTCCAGCAGGGATTGCTGTTTTCATTCCCTGGGACATAAAGCAGTCCTGCTGGCCCAGGCTGCCAAAGAGAGGCTTCAAATGCCCCAGGTTGCCCTCCTTTCCTTCCTCATTGGCAGCATCCACACAAGCATATGGGACTTACTCTCCTCCAGCCAGGCACAGGGCAGCCTGTCACCACAGACATCTCCTTTAAGGCAGCAACTGGCTGGTGCTTGGACCAACATCTGCACATACAGACACTGACAAGCCTCTTAGTGGAATCATCCAGGGTCTCCCAGCCCTTCACAGCCTCCTACCCTTGCAGTCTTAAACACAATTGCACTCTGCCATCTAGTGATCTTGGGCAAAAAGAATTGTTCCAGGTGGTATCAGCCACACAAGTTTGGGAGAGCCAATTTTGCACCAGGATTGGCAAGTTCCCCCAATTTTGTTCCCTGTTGGTTTAATAGGGTTGGTGTCAGCTGGCATGGAGAGCTCCTACCTTCCATGGCTGTCCACAGAAAGGAAGGACCATTCTTCAGTGTTTAGTGGATCCATGGCACAGTCAGGGCTCAGTCTCCAGGCTGCCAAGAAGAACTAGATGCAATACTATTGGGAGCAGGCTGGCCTCAGTGTTTCTAATGGGAGACAAGGGCTTTCCAAAGCATCAACAGTAGTTGCTGCATTTTTTTCTGGGGAGCTGAAGTGAGCAGCATCCAGAATCAAGAGTGAGATTAGCCTGGCCTGTGGATCCAGCACAACCAGGGACAGAGAAGTACCATTCTGTGAAGGTGCAAGTCAAAATCCGTGGGCAGCTGACTCCCCTGAGGAGTCTTCCATCAGATTACTAAGGCAGTGCTTCTTTGTGCTGTACCCTCATGGTCCTGGAAAGGCAGCACAATGGCATGGATGTAATGGAGGGCACAGCTGGACCCACCACTTCCCCAGAAACACAAAGACAGCCCTGAGACTCTGTATTTTAGTCCCCAAAGCGACTGACACTGACATATTTGTCCTGTCCTCACTGAGCCATGGGGTGAAGCTCTGACCCTGATTTTAGGGGAGACGCATTTATAACACTTGGGCACTTCAGAGAGTGCCCAAGATTGGCTGCATTTGCAATCCAGCAATTATTATAAGTCTTCACAGAATTTGTATCCTGGATACAATGCCAAAGAAAAGAAAGAACAGCTTTCTTTCTCTTTTACTCTCTTCTAAGCAAAAGGACACTTGAAATTTGCTGAAATACTACCACTTCTTCCTTCCTTTCTTCACAGTGTGGAGTTTTGTTTGAACTGTAAAGCTGTCTCTGTAGCTTTGACTGGAGCGCACTTTGGACTTTTCATAGGGAGAAAATATAAAGGAAGATTTGCTTGGTACATAATATATCTGACAGAGAAGTTGTAACTATTACCCATCTCCCATCCGAGCCAAGTGCTTGCCTGAGGATGTAAGACCTTTCTCCAATATCCTTCAAGACATGCATGTGAGGTTCTTCAAAAAACCCAGAGGCATGGTGCTGTGGGGCAGCCAGTGATGCCAAACACTCCTCTGCCTGCCAGAGAGAGGCTCACCTGTCTCTGAGGAGATGTTCACCTCCACACTGAGGTCAGGAATGGGTGCTCCCTGGAAGGTAGCCACGCACAGGTAGGTGCCATAGTCACTGAATCTCAGGTCAATAATCTCCAAGCTGCAGGTCACAGGTGGGAGCTCGGGGTCATTGCGGGTGATGAGCAACCGGTCTGAGAACCTGGCTGGTTTTCCGTTCTTGTACCACGAATAGACAACCTTCTCCTGGGGGACAGCATCTACATGGCATGAGAGCTTCAAGTCCTGGCCTAACTGGATGGTCTCACTCTCTTTGATCACATCAGGAGTGATTTGGAATGTGGCATTCTTCATGGCTGAGATGAACAGAAGTGCAAAACTGGTTAGGGATATCAAAGTATCTTGCATGGGACAGGAAACTGGTTTTTTTGCTCCTCAGGAAGGCAACATTTCCATGAAATCTGCCCACAGACCTCTCCCACTTACGTTCCCCCAAAACGTCCCAAGGGCCTCACATCTGGCAGCCTGGGATCATCTAATTCAGGATAATGCTACAACCCAGGATGAAGCTGCAAGCAGAGCTTGCACAGCTGTTGGTCTGGGAGCAGAGAAACTTGCACAGGCACTTCTCCAGAATATTAATTGCTGCTAAATATCACATTCGCCCTCAGCTGTACAAGAACAGCCAGGAGGAATGCAATTCCCCTGCTCCCTGAAAACACATGCTCAGAGAAAAACAGCAACTTACACCTCACCAGCAGGTTCACAATCTTCTTTGCCGGGTTCCCCACATTGTTGATGGCCGTGCAGTTGTAGTAGCCTGAGTCCTCCACACGGATCCTCCAGATGGTGAGGTTGCCTCCTTGCACGAGGCTATTGGGAGGCATTGGGCCAGGAGAGTGGGACCAAACCACTTCTGGCAGTGGGTCACCGCCCGTCAGAGAGCACTGCATAGTGATGTTGTCACCAGGGTTGACCACCAGAGTCTCATTGACAGATAGCTTCAGAGCAGGTGGGGCTGGAAAAGCACAGAGGAACACTTCAGAGCTTGGGAAAGACCCACCCACTCGCCTGTGCACAGCTCCAAATTTTTTATGATTTGTTCTTGTTGATGGCTGGTTTGAATAGGGACAGCTGGAAAGATCTATGAATTGATTACAAATATGAGATATTTGTGAATCTAAAGCATGATCATTACCATGTCTTCGAGTGAGAACACTGCTCTTTTATGGCTAGGAAATAGAACAGGCAGGACCTCACACTGCCCCAGAAAACACTCTACCAGTAGTGCTTAGGCCTGGGGCACAAAGCAGCGATGACATTTTATCAGTGCTCACGTTCTGTGTGGCTTAGGATGCAGATCAGAAGAAAAGCCCAATAAACCCACTCTGCACATATAAGGGTGGCAAACAGGCAACATTTGGCAGTGAAAAACCCAAGGCCTGAAGTTTCTTGACTCCTGATGCAAACAACTGCAGCCAGGCATAAGGGCAATGGAAGCCTTTTTTGCCTTGATGGAGAGGTGAAGGAGAAAGGACAGCCTCAAAGGAGCCTGCTTGAACACAACCACTGCTTGTGCTCAAGGACAGCTGGCATTAAACCACTCCTCTCCTTGAGAGTTTCCATCCCAAGAAGTGAGCTTTTGGGAAGGTCAATCATTAAATAAAACTATCCTCAGCTGTGCCATGATACACCTCTCTACCTCTCACATCCAACTAGACATCTTTGACAGCCAAAGGCTTTGCCAAGCAGATAGTCCTTGCAGCTTGGAGACTGATATGGAGGACCAGGACCTGTCTGCACCTTAACAGACCATTAACAGCAGCTCTGAACCTGTTCTTAATCTCCTTCACCTCCTCAAGTGTCAAATATGCTTTTCTGTATACCTGGGGGCTATCACAATCACAGCAACTCTCCTTCACATTCAGTTGAGCTGAAACTGATTCAAAGTATCTAGACAACCTCTCCTTTGAATGCCCTGGTACCTGTTTTTTGGTTTTATTTTATTTCTTCATCCTTCTCACTACAGCCCTCTCCAGGAACTGATCCAAAATCCTTCCCTTTGTATTCTCTATTTCATTCCATGAAAAGTCTGTCAAAGCCTCTATGAGCACTATCACTGACTCCATCCAGAGAGAGCTGAGAAAGTAGCAGTCCCCAGCAAAATAGCAGGGAGTATGTTTTAAGTAACAGCCATAATAATGCAAAATAAGACATTGTTCCATATTCATGAAGCCTGATTTAACAGCATCATTATTTCTGCCTCTTCTCTCCCTGGACCCTGTGTTAATGAGCTGCGCTGGATTTGTGTTGGGTCTCTGAATTACAGCCCATACAAACAAGGCAAGGAGGACTCTTCTCTCTTCAGCACCAGTGCCATAATTTAGTAGCACAACTACTGCCATACTGGGATATTGCTTTGGTGTACTGAATATAATGTCCTCTCTGGCCCTGCACATGCTATTTGTGTCAGAGGTGGCCAGCTATGCCTAAGGAAGAAGGTGGCTCTTCTGCTACCTACACTCGCCATTTTGAGGCCAGTGGCTGAAGCCTTTGAATTTCAGAAGGCCACAGCCTGCACTCAAAGAGTCTTTGGCAAGTCTACCTTGTAAAAAGTGTGCAAGGGTTATTGCTTATTAAATAGCAAAGGAAGGATTTGTATGTCCTCACCAAGCTCCAGATGGTTTCATGAGATAGTATGAAGCCCAGAAATGCAATAGCTCAACTCACCGTGGCTGGGCAGGACACATTCCTGTCACTAACTCAGCGTAGCTGACACCAAATAGCTGTTTCTGCCCTCGGACATTGAACTGGTCTCAGGTTCACAGTGCACAGACAAACTGGCAGAGCAGCATCTTGCCTGGGAATCTCCATCCATCCCTGTCAGAGACATGGAAAACCTGAGACCAGCCCATGTCCAGAGAGAAAGTGTCAGAGTTGAGGAGCACAAACCAGAGACCCTGCAGGCTCTGGTTAAGATTTAGGGCTCTTGCAGATTTAGAGTTGGATATGCACACTGACCCACACTCATCTTGCCCAGCTCTGGGCAAGGCAACATGTTAAAAAGGTGACATGCTGGTGCTAGCACTGCATCAGAGCAGGCTGTGTATGCATGCATGAAGGAGGCAGGGAAACTTCAAATCTGCCACCTGCACAGCTCCAGGGAGCAAGCTCCCACAACATGCCCCAAAATGGAGCCTTGGCTGTGGTAGCCTGCGTGGGTACCACTCCCACTCCCATCAGCAGACAGAGGTTAACAAACTGCAGACATTATTATGCAGGAGATGATTCTCATTTATTTGTAACCTGTGGCAATTCCTTTTGTTCTTGGCTCAGAAAACCTGCTGGCGGAGTCTGCCGAGCAACGAGGGGACCATTAAAAACAAAGAATCGCTTTCAATTCCCTTTGAAGTCCAATTTGCTGCAGTAAAACTGCAGGAGAATAAACCAGTGGGGCGGCTTCATTTTGCAGAAATTGAGGAAGGGGGAAAAGTCAGGCTGACCCTGCTGGAGCAGGTGATGGCAGCCTGGTGCTGAGCTGGTCCTGTGGCTCTGTGGACCCAACCTGCTGCTCTGGAGCCAGGAACAGAACAGAGGGGGAGCAGGGACATCTCCTTCCCACTAAGGTTGCAGACAAAAAAACCTATTCTCTGCTGCAAGGCCCAAGCTGCTGAAAAGAGCTTGGGAGAAGTCCATCTCCTTACCAGAGACTATGATCTGCCCAAAGGACATGGAGGAGCCAGCTGAGGAACATTAAATGAGCTGAGGAGATTCCCTTGGCCTGACCTGACCTGACCCACCAATTCACCTCAAGGTTTGTAGTGCCTGGACTAGGAATATTTAAGAGAGAGAAATTTCCAAGCATTTCAGCACCCTTTGGGCCCTTCTCAGTTTTAAAGGCAAAGGCATCCTGAGTGAAGCTGCTCAGGATTCTGGGCACAGCCACGTTTAGAAAAGCTGTGAAAACATAAGCATAAGGGGAACAGAAAAGACCTAAGCTAAAAAGGAGAGAGTTAAAGAATTTCATTTAAATATTTCCTCATCTATGCACAGTACTACCTACAGGGCAAGTAACCCATATAATATTTCATGTTAAATATAGTCATGCTATTTAACACAAACCCTGCTCACACCACAATGCCAGCTTCATTTTCACTGCCAACTTTTAATACAATTTGCTAAGAACACATTTTCCATGGCCCCTTTGAGCTTGTAGTGCCAGGCTCCACTGTAACTATGTATAAATATGCATCTATAATTAAAAAACAGGGGAAAAGAAATCAACCCTAGATAGATGTGCTTAAGAAGCTGGTGTAAATTGAGCCATATTGCTGACTTGTCATCAAGTACAGCCTGAAAATACATTTTCCCCATTCACATAGTGTAGGGGCTGGATGGAAATGAAGAGTAGTTTCCCTGTGCTTGGGCTGGCAGGGGGAGTGGACATGAAGAGAAATTTGATTTTCTAACTCTTCAAAGGTAAAGGTACACAGGGAAGAAGAGCTGCATAATATCCCTTTCTTCATCATGCACAGAAGATAAGTTTTTAAAGGGAATATTTCAACATTTGCTGCACTCTCATCCTGAGAGAAACTCAGCTAATAGGGTGAGTTGTTTGAGACATGTTCAGAGATCTTACTACAAAGAGAATACTTTTTTCTGACATTAGCTATAATTCACTTTCTTAAGCTCATTATTTTTATTCTTCCCACCTAAAATGAGGCAACTATTGTTCCAGCACCTTGGAACTCAGATCAATAAACATAATTTAAACAGTATCAACAATATCCTGTCAACAGTTAACAACATTAAAAAAAGTTCTGTTTCCACTGCACAAAGATGACACAAGGGATGCAAAATGCTTTGTGTTACATTACAGAGGTGAATAATTCAAACAACTACAATGCCTTTCTCTCTGATCATGGAATACCCCAGGGCTGGAAGCAATTTCCTGACATTTACTTATTATTTGCAAATATTCAACACACATGGGGGCTTTGCAGGTGGAGATTTTTTATTGTGTGTGTGGTTTTGGTTTGTTTTTTTTTAATGGACAGGTTGCAATCAAGTCCTTGCCAGTATTTGATAGAGGACACTGAGTTATCATTCACTTACTGCACGTCAAGCAAGAGGCACCAAACTGAATCTGCTCACAACTGGAGGTGCCCTCAAGCACTGGCAGTATGAACATGAGTAAATTTATTTATTGGGAAGGCACTGGAGATGTATGCTTTCCACAAACACCGGCACCAGCAGAGCCTGTTACCTGGGAGGTGCTTAGAGCACAGCCTAGCAAACCAGGCTGGAGTCACACATGGATGAATTATTTGTAAGAACTCCTGCAGCTCTGCCCCACTCTAGACTGTATCCAATCTATTTTTAAAGTCACTTAGAAGTATAAATAAATAAAATAGTGTATGAATTAGAAGCTACATAGTGCCTCAACACCTACACATAGTCTGTTTTAATGATCTCATGGCAGGCCTGGCCAAGGCAGTGGCTGTATGCAATGCTATGAGAAACTAGAGCAGCCACAAGACTTCCATGTGAAGGATCTGAAATCCCAGCACCCATGTCAGTGAGGTCGAGGTGCTGCAGGCCCTGGACAGAGTGCTGTGTTATCCTCCTGGAGGAGTAATGGCTGTTGAGGAGGTGAGGGGTCAGAAGGCTGCAGGGACCCTTCATGTCCCCTCTTACCTGTGGTGTTTGTGAGCTGGAAGGTGATGGCTTTGTCAGGGATGCTGCAGACGTTGCGGACGGACACCTGGCATGTGTAGCTGGCATAATCCTGAGGTCGAAGGTTCTTCAGCTTCAGGACTTTGGTTTCACCCTGGGATTTTGGAAAAATAGGGGGAAAAAAAAGACACGGGTGTCCAAAGCACAGATCAACATTCCAAGACTGTATCCTGTCCCAAAATTTACAGATTACCAGCAGCTCCCATGAAAACTTTAGAGAACTGTGCAGATTTCAAGCACCCCCCCCCCAGTTCTATATAGAGGAGACATAAAATGTTTGCAGTGGTCATTTCACCTAGAGGGTTTCACAAAACAGCCAGCAACTGACTGACATGACCTGAAAGCACTGCCAAACAGGTCTGGGCATAATTTCTCGTCAACTACTGCCAGAAACGTCTTGTGGAACATGACAAACTTTAGCCATCTCAGAACAGACACTGAGATCTAACTCTGAGATGTCAGTAAGAATCCAAAGGAAGTCACTGGGGACTCAAAATTGCCAAACCAAAGTAAATCAGAGCAGATTGAAGCATTAATACGGCCTAAATATAACAAGTTCAACAGTTATGCTCTAGAACGCTGTAGTATGGGGGGGGGGGGAATCAGAGAAATACTCAAAGAACTTCCAAAACTTTCTGATCCCTCCTCTCTAGATTCTAATCTCATTTCTGCTGATATAAATCCAGAGTGACTGAAGAGACTTTGATAGCCTTTTCTCATTCTAAGGTAACAAATAAAATCACTCCCTGCACTCTGTTAGTTACTGGCTTGTTATAGAAACAGAATCAAGTTGTTACATTAACCACAGACGTGTTCTGTAGACTTTTATTTATGGAATGCAGAAAGCTCTGAGAGTCATCCTATGGTTTGCACACCCTGCAACTCATATGTCTTCCACTGACAGCTCGGTGCTGTTGTTCTCCTTGAGTTTGTCTAAATCACTTTTGGAGAAACCATTCTGTAACTGCCTGCAAGAGGTGTCAGCATGACAAATCCTCCTGGGGACAACCTCAAGGGACTGGACAATGAGCTCGGGAATGCTAATATGCAGAGAACAAGGATGTAAGGTGAGTAAATCAGAATTATAAAACCTAGGACACCAAAAACCCTAGGAAAGTCCTGTCCCCTGAGAATTGCTGCTATGCTACACAAATTATGACATTTACAATATGCATGCCATCTACATACCTACAGGTTCATATGTATCCTGTTTATGGATTAGTGAATTTAGGTATATCTGTATAAACTCTCAGTGTAAGTAAGTTTTAAAAAGTTTAAAAAGTGAAATCTTCACCTTGTTTTTAATGTAAAAGCCTATTTAAACCTGACTCTGACAGAGGTTCAGCTCTAAGGCAACACTGCAAACTCCAGTGAAGGGTACTTTGTTAAACATTCCAGCAAGATTTTTCCCTTCCAACAGTGTTGCAGAGGTGTGTTTTTGTTAACTTAAACGCTTACCAACCCAAATTTACAGGCTTATGCTGGTGTTAAGGAGAGGACCACAAGGGCATGCCTGTCTGAGCACGGCAGTCCCAACACCCTCTTTCAGAGCTGGGAATGACCCATCATATCAGGAGCATTGCCTGACAGGAGCTGCAGCACGCTAGGTCATTTAAACATTAATGCTGCAACATGGGGAATTTTTGCCAGATGCCTTATTTAGCTAGAGAAAATATCCCAAGTCCTAAAACATCCTCTCATTAGGCAACATCTCCTGTTAATTACACTGAGCCTAGTGAAAACTGGAAGAGCCCATGGTGGCTTCCTCCAAGGCCAAGGATGTCCTAGTTGGGAGCCACATAGCACATAGACAAAGCTGTCTTCAGGGCCAAACAGCAGTGCTGACCTACAGTGTTTCTGCAAATCTGCCACTAACCTGCAGCTCTCTCCTCCCTCCTCATGCCCCTGAATATTTCCATTTGGATGCCCATTTCCATGACCTACAGAGATGGTGTGTTTCAATAAAATATGAACATGTCTACATTAACTTAAAGGCTGCCTGGGGCATTGCTCAGAAATCAGACTCAACCAGAATGTGCTCTGGGCCCAGCTTTCGGAATGCAGGAAGGTGCTTGGGATGAAACAGGTGCCCTGGGGAGCTGCCCTTTCAGCCCTCCTTTCCCTCCCATGTGCTCCCTAGCAGCCTTGCTGGAAGTACTGGGGCTGATTAGCATCTAAAGGATATGCAAATCCCAAGCTCAGCTTAGGCTGACATGCCCAGAGTGCCCTGGCAAAAGAAAAGTTCCCTTCTGTCTCCCATTGCATTGCCAGGCTAATTACTGTCAAGAAAGTGGTGTTTACAGGGGAAACCTGGTTGTGTAGGGCAAGTCCAACATATGCAACCAGGAGAAGGAGAAAAGATGTGGACAGACTTGTTACAGGACAACAGTCAGGAAGAGCCCAAGGAGTTGGGCTCCCCATTACTTGTGGCCATTAGAAAAAAACTCATGGATCCCACAGCAATGCCTGCCATCTGCTCACACTGCTAAACAGGAAGCCCTTCCCTGATATATGGAGCCTGAGCACTCAATTAAGAAAAAAAATAAGTGATGGGACATAGAAGAAATTCAATTTTGAGATCATTTGGATTTTAGTCTCAGCCATCCAACAGCTGCATAACTTCAGCAGAGGAGCTGTGTCACTGCTCTCAGGGAAAGATAAAAAGGGAAGGATCCTCCTAGGTCACACTCCCTCCTACTGCTCTGCTCCTCTTGCACCCTGGGAATTTGCATGCAGAAGGAAGGTCTATCAGCCCTTCTGGAGGCAGTGCTCCTTGCAGCAGCCTGCACCCTCTCCCCAGCATCATAATCCATGCAGGGAAGGAAACACCACCTACAGTGCCCTGCATCAGCAAAACACTCAACAAAAGCTGGCAGAGGTTGGCTTATTTTGCTTACCTGTGTGTAAAGGGGCTCATAGATGTCCACACCATTGTCCTGACTGTGAGAAAGTGTCTCGGCTCCCCGTTTCCAGATGAAGCGAGCTGGAGGGTTGGAGTTGACAGTGCAGCGGAGGAAGACGGTCTTCTCTTGGTAGAAGCTGCCACGTACATCACTGATGGTCTGGTGCACGGTGAGAACAGGCTCATCTAGATCTGGAAGGGAGGTAAGGAGGGTCGCAGCCGCTGTTAGCAAGGCTCGGTCTGCCTGTACAGCCTGCAGAGCAGATGATGCTCCAGGTACCAGTGAGGAGAGGGGAAGGTCGCACACATTTGGCTGATGACAAGTGGTGATTTAAGAGCTGATCTGAGGGCAGGTAGTACAACCAATATCTAAAGGGAACAGACAGGACAAGCCAGAATTCTCCCGCTCACCACACAAACCTTCAGAGAATAGAAAGCAGTCTCTAGTTTGCAGAGCCCTATGCAGTCCTCAAAAAAAACCATCTGCCTGCCACATGTGTCCCAGAGCAGTGGACTGCCTCACATCCCTCAGTGGCACCCCCCTACAGAAAATCACTACTTTCTACTTCAGTGAGAGGTCAAAAGGATCCCAGGAAGCTCTGTTCCATCATAATTTCTCCATTTTCTAGTTCCCAAATCTCTCCTGAAATCATGGGGCTCACTCAGGGCTGTGAAATGTCCATACAAATGTCATGACAAACCTTCAAGACAAGGAATTAAAGTAAAAAAATCAGGACAAGGATCAAGGAGCTGAGTTGGAAAGTCATCTAGGCAGAGTAAATCTCATGAGGAGCTATGGTAATATGAGATGCAAAACATTGTAATAGGTATGTATAATTTCTCTCTCTTCCTATTAAATATCCTCTGTGTATTTTCTTCACAGTCTATATCAAGTGTCCTTTGGCAACTTCTAGTCACTGCAACTCCATTACCCCTCCCTAAACTGATCAGATTATTTTGTTTTCTTTCTTTTCAGAAGATGCTCCTTTCAATTCCCTAATTGAAAGGGAATTCTCTTTCAATATTTGATAATGCAAGAAATATTCCTGCACCAGACATGCAGCCACCATGACTGAATCAATGGTTATCAGTGGCCATACTTGCAAGGACAGAAGCAATAGCCCTGCAGAAAGAGGATTTTCTCCATCCACACAGAGCATACTGCTCCCCTACAGTTGCCCACCTGCTAAAAAGGGACAATTTTCTTGGAATTTGCAGCAGGTATCAATGTCTGAACATCAAAGTAGCATGGGAGACACCTCAGAAGCGGTGGATCTTTCTCCTCACAAAACCACTTTGAGACTGAGGTTAAATGTAAAGATCCCTTCTGACAAGAGCTGGCCCTCTAAAATGGAAATCAATCCCTGTGTCTTTAAGTATATCTTATAAGGCACCTTTTGAGCTCAAGTTAAAGCAATTCTATATTTTCAGGAGTGTTATTACCCCATCTCCAGCTGCAAGGAAACTGAGGTACATGTACCCAGTATTTTCTTGTGCTGCCAGCAAGATCCTCTGCACATGCCTAATGTGCTCATCACACCCTCCATGCCCCCTCCCATGCCACCTAGATTTCACAGTATTTTATTTTACAAATTTGTAAGTTTGGAGACCTGACTCCCAGAAAGGAAGAGGGAAGCAGGGAAGAGTTTCTGCTAACAAGTCATCCAAACAACGTATGCTCTCTGCTGAATCACAAGTGTCAACTTGTGGGTTTGCATCTTTTAGTGAGCTGTATGCTTGGCAGACAGCAATTGTTATGAGACCTGAAATTTGTCTTCTTGACCATAGCTCAGAGATATGAGTAGAGCCATTAACGGAATAATGACAAGACACAAAATATATCCCAGAAAAAAACTCTGCCAGCCAAAAAACACTCATGGCTGAAGAAAAACATATGCAGATGGAAAAAAAAGTCTCCTCTCCATGCAGTGCTGTCTTCATGTGGCCATGGAGTGACACCAAATTCTTTTGGACCAGGACCCTGAGCACAATGTCTCTTCTTCTCCTCCTTCTTTGTCCTTAACCCTCCTTTATTTTTTAAACTTCACACGAGTGACTCTGCAGCTACCATCCGAGACTCTCAGCAGGTAAAACACTTCCCTTACTAACCGAAGCAACAGCTCACCATTCCAGTCTCCTGGCTCCCAGCTACTCCCCACACAGAAAACAACACCTTCTTTTTGGTTGCTAAAACTTTCCTCCTTTGAATCCTTCAGCCTTCTTTTGTACAAGTCCGCTCTAGGTCTAGCCCTCCTGAGAAAAGCTAAAATAAGACCTACAACAACGTGTATGTCCTTGGATGTACGAGTAATGCCACTGATGTCAGTGAGCTGCTCAAATGATAAATTTGGCCCAAGGCTGTTCAAGGAGATGATCACATGGGATGTTTCATGCACAATAAAAACTTATAAACATTCATTCTTTTCTTTTCTTTACTTTCTCTCTCTCCCACATGGAAATACTCAGAACAGCAGCTGCCTCTCTGCCAGTATCCAACCTATACTTTAAAGCCTCACCGACGCCCACTTGGAGCAGAGGAATATCGTGCTACACGGGTTAGTGTTTCCAGTTTAATATCCTCTTGGCACCAAGGATGCTCTCTGTGCAACTTCACTGTCAAACACTAAAGTATGACTGAGGAGTAGCAGCAGCTGTCAAGGACACCAAGGTACACATGAGGGTGATTACTTACCTCTAGCTACAAAATGGGATGCAGGAAAAGAAGGGGTTTGTTTTCAAATTCTGGTTCATTCAGCTGAAGGTTGCCTGGGTGAGCGTTCAACAAAAACTGTGGCTTTTCCCATGTGCTCCCTTTGTACCTACTGCAAATACTAGCAGAAAATAGTCTCTCCTCCCCAAAGACCAAGTGAGCAGAACAGAGGTGCAGTACCAAGTCCATCTGCAGAGTAGATGTTAGTATGAGAAAGCCCTTGGCCACCCCATTAGCCCCACAGTTCTACAGGTCAGAGCTGCATGAGGGATCACGGGACACTACATCACTCTAGCTCCAGCCTGCACCAAGGGAGCACCTTCAGGGCATGAAGAGATTCGTGGCACAATCCTGTTCCTAAAGACATGGGCCCTTGCAAGGTATCACACTGAGCCTTGAGAAAGCCAAGTGTCTTTTGCAATGGAGAGTTATCATATCCTCCATCACCTGTAGGAGAAGAAACAGGCAGAGAAGCCAAGCAGATCTAGGGTGGGTGCCAGAACTTCTCTAAACAAAGTGATGCAATGCCAATGAAAGAACACTCATCCTATCCACAGTGGCTGCTGTTGAAGCAATCCATTTCCACAGCCTAGATAGTGCCCACACTACACTACTCCAGTAAAGGGCAGGGAAAGGAAGGAACAGATGGGAGCTACTCCCAGCCATATAGTACAACAGTGGATCATGAACCTGCCAAAAGCTAAGGATGCCCAAGTCCGTGGCACATTTTGTGGGAGTCCCATCACAGTGGGACTGGACAGCAGGACTAAAAGGAAAGTAGGCAGGCAGCAGTTGCTGTCAGCAAAAAGGTCTGCCCAGACTCCAGGCATGTACTGGGGTTTTGAAGCATGGAGGCTGTTCCACTGACAGAAAACCACAGTGCTCAGAAGGAAGGACCTTCTTCCTAGAAGGAATGTAGAGCAGCTCGTGACAGGTTCAGGGACAGATTCAGCAGCTTTATCACACTCTACAACTTTTTAGCACCAATCTCTTGCCTTCTCAGTAATACGAGTGAGGAGAGGGATTTGGTGTTAGTTGGGCTGGAGAAAATTGGAATACTGGATAGTCAAGGACAATGTAATGGTAATCTTCTCCAAGAGAGCAAAACAAGTTGACTAGACATTAAATCTTGGATTTCTCCCATTTAGGCCTACGGAGTAAGTTTTGACCACAGCAGCCCAAAAATAAAGTCCAAGAAAAAAATATTAAGAGAAACCCTCAAAACTTGAAGCCCAAGGTGGAAAACCACTAGCAGCACCTCCAGGACTCAAGAAGGATGGGTACTAGCCAGAGAAATGTAGAGCCACCTTCACGTTATGGGCACTATGACCAACCAGGGCAATGTTGAGCTACCTTCACATTCACCCTATCACAGTTCAGCCTCCTCAGCTGCATTCCAGAGTTTTCAGCTGTTTCCAGCATGCTACAGAAGTAGCACTGCTGGGAACAGGACACTAGTTTCAGGAATGCCCCCAACATCCGAGGCACTACCAACTTCAAGAAACATTGTCTGTTTCAAGCTCTGTCAGCTTCAAAACAAAGACAAAGAAAGCAGAAGCCACTCCCAAAGCTACATCCCAGACAAGTGCTGGGGAACCCTGTCAGTGACAGACACCACAACACCTAGGCAAGAATGACTCACAAGGACAGCAGAACTACATTTTGCAGGGATGGATCTAACCTCCTAGGCAAAAAAGTCACTGAGGAGACCACGCCAGTCCCTCTGCTCCTGAACCAGGTGCACGTGGTGCTAGGGCAATGCAGCTCCCTGCTGGCCCTGCAGCGAGGCAGAGACACTCAGTAGAACTGTGGGAAGGTCTGGGTTGCCGCTAAACGACTTACACTGCACATCTACTCGAATGGACTTGATGGCAGGGACCCCAACCCCATTTTCTGCTTTACAGTAATAGCGGCCCCCCTGCAGCCTTTGGATCTTCTCAATCCGAAGGGTCTCGTTAAGCACTGACGTCTCTTGGAATTTGTCCGACGCGCTGCCAGCAGTTTTGGTCCATCTCACCTGCATGAGAAAAACAAAAGAAATGAAATCAGGGACACAAAATAGAGATCCCAAGATTCAACAGAGCTCCCTTTGTTGCTTTTTCCTCTCCTTCCTAGCTACTTCCATAAAGAGGTCCCCCAGCACTGCCAGACTTACCAAAGCTCAGCTACTGGTCTCAGTATGTCTCAGTAGCTCAGCTGGTGATTCTGGTCCATTCCAATCCCTACATCCAGAATAACTCCTCAATTCACCCAGACACACCCTGCATGTTTGCCACTCCTGCTCTGATCCTGCAAACCCAGCAGCTTGCTCAGTTTCATGCCACTATCTGCACAGCACAAGACTTTCAGCACTCAGCCTTGAGACCCCACGTGGCTGGTAGGCCACGACACTATAGCAGACATCAGCTCACAGCTACAGAGCTTTTACTGCAGTCTACACTCATTTTTTTCTGGATAGCAAGGCTATTTCTGCTTTTTGCTTTTCCATGAGTGAGAAAATGCAGTTGCTGTCTGACTCTTGCCCCTTTCCCACTGGGAATCCCTGTGTATTTTATTTTTGTAAGTCATCCTTTTGCAGTACACAAGCTTTTGCTATGCTTTTAAAGATACAGAGAAAAGGAAAAGGAAAAAAAAATCCCTTCAGATTTCAAGCTTTTTATTTCTTTGTCCTTATGTTACATGTCTTAAGATCCTGGCTTGCAGGGGCAACAGAGCTGCATGATATTTCATGGTGAATGGTGGCAGGAAGACAGCAATCCCAAAGACTGAAGGGTTCTTCTTTTGTCTGGAATAAGGTACAGCCCTCACAGGGGCAGTACAAGCTTCCCCTTATTTTGTGCACTCAACACAATGAAAGAGAGAGATGGCTTTTCTCAGCCCATTGGTTTTCTATATCTGTAACCTCCCTTTGAAAGGCTGCTGACCACTGGCCTCCTACTCTGGGACAATTTAGACTCTGGAACTGAGAGCCAGCAAGATCAGCCAGCAGAAAAAAGAGAGACTTTCATTTAGCATTGGCCATAAATAAGATGGACCAAATATCTTGGTCACTCTGCCAGGCTTTGCCTCAAGCTCACTGATGTCACCTGATTGGTGCTGATGCTCTAGAAGAAGCAGGGGAGTCTATATCCCACCCCAGAGCACGAGGCTGAGCAGATTTTTGGAGCTATTGACCATGGATTTATTCAGCCTTTGTCAGATTATGAAATTGTCTGAGGGCCCCAAGACTCTTGGAGTCTCCTGTTTTGAAGGACACTTCAGCCAGCTCTTTAATCTTTTCAATCACAATCTCATTTTAGTATTTTGGCCACATTTTCATGCTTTAATGACTGGCTGATAGAAAGGGAAAGAGAAGATTAAACAAAGGTTAGGACAAGAGCTTTGCTGGGGAAGAAATCAATCCATTAGGAGGGAGGGCAAAAATAGGATGAATGCCACATTTTATGTGTGCAGGTTCCAGTCTCCCTGGTCACACCTGGTTCCAGGCTCTGGTGTCCCTGTGCAGGTCTGGGCAATGACAAACCAGAGTGTTGCCCACTAGCATGCTGTCTGCAACAGGCTCTGCTCCAGAAATCTCACTAGCTACTCAGGCCCCAAATTCCTACAACCTGCCAGGACCTTCCCACATATTCAACAACCTTAGGCAGGGCTGCTGCTATCAAATTCCCCATTTCTGATGCACATGGGTATCATTTGTCCATCACTGTCACAAGCCTAGGCTTATTGTTTTTGCTGACTTGGCTCAGGTAATTTTCTTTTTGTTTCCAGGATATTCTTTTGTTGGAAAAACCATTTCAAATCCTTGCCTTTGTCATCACCTCATCGCCAAGTAGCTCCTCACAAGCAAGCCCACAGAGGCAGTGGCTGGCATAAGAAAATGCATGGCTTCCTGCCACAAATATCTTTGGCAGGACTGAGGAATGGGGCCAAGCACGTGTGGCTCCCCTGAGTGTATCCTGGCACATCCAGCCTCGCAGTGTGCACCAGCTGCCACTCCAGCCACGCTCTGTCCCAGAGCTGGCAGACTCAGGCTCTAGGCCAGTGCCTCTACAGACACATCCACACTAACACTGAATCTTGAGTATCTGAAGGGTGCTGAGGTGGCTGCAGGGGCCTGAGACTGTGCAAACCTCTGGGCACCCTAAGTAAGGACTGCAACCATTAGCCAAGCTCAGCCTTGTACCTCCCCACTGGATTGTGCCTCTGACCACAGCATCATGTGTCCAGTGCTGCAAGTCTGACTCTGCCTCTGCTTGGTGGCCACAAAGCAATGAACAGCAGGATCTGTGTGGAGCTCAGTGAAGTGCACTACCAACAACTTCCCAAACTCCCCCAAGCAACATTCCCTTGGTTGTGCATCCAGAGAAGCTGAGAAATGGATGGACCATGAAAGACAACTCCTAAGGCAAGTATATATGTGAAGCATCTTCTAGGATGTTCCTACTCTGTAGTAAGAGGCTTAAAGATTTTAGATTTCAGTTTTTGGAGGGACTCCCATACTGAAGACAAGTAGAAGGTCTTTGTAAGCGTCTGCAAAGCTTTGTGGAGTGTTTTCCACAAAAGTGAGCTTAAATGCTTCACAGCTTAACAAGCTAAGTGCTTGCAAAATGGGGCATCCCTACCCAAGTCCAACATGTAGGAGAAAGCTGGACACCCCACTTCTGACAGTTCTTCTCTGTGTGGAGACTACAAACAAATGCCATGAGGGAGAATGGGTGACAGGTGAGACTGGAGGCTTACCTGTGGCCGGGGGTGTCCTGTGACCAGACACTGCAGGACCAGCGTGTCCCCCTCCCGAATTGTGTAAACACGTTCACTGATGTTGTCTTCCTTCACCACACACGCTTGCCCAGCATGGATGATTTGGGCCTGAGCAGGAGCTGTAGAAAGTAAAGAAGAGGTAAAGATGGAAATGAGAGCAGTACCCCATCTCCTTATGCCCACTGCCCAGGGTGGCTTCTCCTGCCTCTTAAGCCACAGAGGGGAAGAGCCAGGCAGTTCTGGGAATGAGTCATGGAGGTCTTAGGAGATATATTATTAAGCAATTTTCCCCATTTTCTGAGTGACTGATATCAAGTACTATTTTAAAACCTTTGGTTCTGTTGGGATGAGCAGGTCTAGACACTGAAAAGCAGAATATGGAGCTTTTTTGGGCGGGACTCTCCTGCATGGGTTGAGGACTAAAAATTTCCTGCTGTTGTCTCTCCCAGAAAGGCGTATGTGCAAGCAGCTATAGCAGGACCTGGCCAAATCACAACTGCTCCATATCTGTCTAAAATAAGTCTGATTACTATGATTTACCTTGCAGGGGGGGCTGGGATAACTACTGAGCAGAGTCAGAAAGGGCTCTGAAGCTCCGTACAGCTATTAGCACTAGAACAGGCATAACACACACTGCAGGAAAAACAAGTCTTTCCCATATTAAATAGCAGCCTCTCTCAGTCCTGAACCAGAGGAAACAGCCTCTGCAGGACCAGAGGACATCATAATCTAGGGATGTAGGGATTTCTCCACCTAAGGCTACTAATGGAGACCAACTACTGCCAGTCCAGCTAGGAAAATGGGTGAAGACCAGCGCAGTGGAAAAGTACATAGAAAGTTCCCAAAACAAAGTCATAAAATGCCACGACCCCAAAAAGCACCTATAGCCCACAACAGCCCTGACAAGAAGCAGGAAGAGACAGCTCTAGCAGAACAGGATTTTATAAAGAAAGAAGCCTGAGCTCGGAAATTCTGTGCAAACAGCCTTTGGCTCCCTACTCCAAAGCGTTTGTGTGATCAGAGAAGTGGCTGGGATGCATTGAAGGTGATCGTGCAGCCCAGCCACACAGCTGCACTTGTTTGATGGGGGAGCTCCAGTTGCACTTCAAGATACAGAGAAACCCACAAACATGTCTAAGAGTTGGTGTCTCACTGACAGTCCCCTGTGATACATACACAGCTTGCTAGAACGCTTTCAGGTGACTCTGGAGTCACAGCTCCACTCCCATTAGTGGAATACAACAAAAATGAACAAACCACAGAGGAGATGATCAAAGGGTTTAAAGCAATGAGCCTTAGAGTGCCTTCCTAAACAAGAATAAATTTTGCACAACCTGTTAAAGCTGAACCAAGAACCCGCTTTTTCCTGAAGGTTAGTTGAGCTTCAAAGACTGCCTTTTAAAAAATTATTTTCATTCCCTTGGCATGACCAAAATGCTCTAGACAAAATCGCCTGGGCAAGAGAAGTGCTAAGGTTTTTGCTGGTTTAATCCACCAGCAATACAAACAACAGGACAGGCTGGGTTCAGGCAGTAGAGAAGATCTGCCTTTGAGATCAGCCTTTATAAACTGGTGTCACCACAAGGCACTGACCAAGCAGCAGGGACACGAGAGTGGACACAGGGTTAGTGGGAAACCGCCCTTGCTGCTGGGGCTTTACAGCTGCCATGGCCACCCAACATCCAGGCAGCAGCACTGCACATACAGCAAGCTAATCTCCCATTTTCCATCTCTTCCATCTCTCCACCGTGGTGGCAGTTTTTTACAACCATTATTACTCTCCAAACTGTTGAAAAACAGAAGCAGCATGTCCATTTGAATAACATGATGACACAAACATGAACAAATCCCTCAGCCTCTACTGTCTTCCCCTTCTGCAGGCCTCCCAAGATGCTTGCCATTGCTCTGGCACCATGGAATGCCAAAACTGACTGTTAAGGCTTCACTGATACAACTGAGCAGATGAGTGACCTTTCCCTGCCTGGATGGCAGAGAGTCTTCTGGAACTCAGGAGAAAGCACAAACCTGTATATTGTGCTTACACACATCTGTGTGTTGGTACACACATACATGTGTGGACATACATGCAGATATGTAAACACATTAATTAAAATAGTAACTTATCAGGAAAAGTCATCATGAATGCTTGTCAAGCCAACAGTCACAGGGGAGGAATTCAGAAGCCTCCATGACCTTTGCTAATACACCTTGATCCAAATGACAGCCTCTTGTGCTGTTTCTGCCCTCAGATCAGTTTTCTGCAGATCTGCCATAACACCTTCAGCTCCACTATAGTGCAATGCACTTCTTACAGGGCTGAAACACAGCCTCTGATGCTGATTGATCTCTCCTGATTAAAGAAGAGACTCCATCCCTTCCCATCCTATGCCTCATTCCTCTAACCCCTAAACTGTGCTGCCTACATGTCAGCAGGGTCCTGGCACCTCGAAGCAGCAAGGCTTTGGTAACCTCTCTTCACAGTCTCTGGGCTGCATTTGCCAGCTGGTGGCTCTATTCTTCCTTTGCAAACATGACCTTGCTGTAAAAACTAATTTCCAGGCACCCCACGGAGAATCAGAATATTTATCTGCAGCTCTAGCTCCCAGTTAAATGTTGCTTTAAAGTGGCTCTGCCATACTCCATATGGTATACAAAGTAAGCATTGCAACTTTCACTCTTCCCTTTGTCTATTCCACTTCCATTATTTCACCTGTGCTGTGTAACCCTTTTCTACCACTTGTCCAGAGGCACTTCCACATGGGGAACTTCCACAGCAAAATCATTAAAGTAGAGTGGTATAGGATTAGACATAGGATTAGAAGGCTTTTGTGCAACTATTCTGGTGCCAAAATACCTTGGTGTAATTTGCTGGCATATCCCTGAGTTTGAGAGAAACATTATTTAAACTAATCCTTATAAGGCACTAGACTACAACAAAACAACAGCCCTGGGGATAAGCCCTGGGTCATCATTTTGTCCTCTTCTCCCACATTCTCCCTGGATACACTGAGCTGTAACAAAGCTTACAAGCAAGGGTACACAAATCTGGCTTTGTTCACAGATGTCTGAACTTCCTTGTGCCACCATCACTAACACCTTCCAGCTAAATCACTGGAAAAGGACGTCACTTTAAGGGAACCTCCACTGCTTAAGCTGTAACATTTCTCTGGCAATAACAACAGCAGGTCCTCAGCAGAGCAACCACCATTTTTTCATGTCTTAAACCCCATGTGAACCCAGATCTCTCAAAAAGTAACTCAGAAAGCTTGGGGTTGTCTTGGAAAGAAAAGCACTCAGCTAGATGGCACAGGAGCATGAGACACTCTCTGGTTTGGTTATAACTTGACATTAGTAGGTGGAGGTTGAGCACAAGATGAGACTCAGGAAGGTCTCTGTTTCAAGCTCAGCCTGCCACAGCACACAAAGGCTGGGAAAGTCTCCTCGTGCTGTATTACAGATGGGCAGAGAGACTGCAAGGATTAATTGCACTTTTAATGTGCTTGAACAGAAGGAATACATTATTGTTTGACATCATCCCATGTCTCCTGGAGGATTTCAGCATGCAGACAGCTTGCACACTGCCAGCACAACAGGATGGCAGGGCCATGCCTGTCAGAGTAACAGTTCCACAGAAGGCCCTTAGGAAGGCAAAGAAAGACTGGAGATGAAGGAGTAACCACAGCCATTCTCAGCAGTGCTCCACACAGAACAACTCTTGAACGAGACCACCTCCTCTGCTGAGTCCTTCTGGGGCAGAATCCCTAACCTCAGGCCAGCCAGCCCCGAAGCAGAGGTCCAAGGAAGACCTCTGATGGCCTCTATGGGGGAAGAAGGGACAGATTGTTCCCAGGAATTTTGAGGGATAGAGGTATCATTACTTTCATTTCACTTTCGGGTAAGAGATCAGCTTAGGAAAGGCTCTCAATACAAAGTCCTGCAGAGAAATTAGGCCAGCCACATATTGAGTGTCAGATGCCTTAGAAGGCAAAAAAAATCAGACTATGAACATGCAGCATTAGGTCCTTGCTCAGAAAATGGCTGGCCTGTAATGCATTTGGCCTCTGCATCAAGATTTCCTACTATGCTTTCACTTGATATATTTACACATTAAAACAAAAGGAAATTGAAGTGGATAAAATAACTTTATTCCCAGTGCAGTGTACTGTACAATGTTATTATTACCATAACCTGGAAAGTTTATGAGACTCTTGGTGCTTAGAGGTTGTTAATACCATGAAAATGTAGAAAAGGAGAGAGAAATGGTCTTTTGCAGAGGACTGAGCCATCTGTATTTGGTTCACAGATCTAGCCATTCATCTTTTTGATCTCAGATCTCATCAGTAAAATGACAACGATGAGAGCTCCTTCACAGAGAGGGTGGTGAGTGACAGGTACTGCACTGACACTCCCTCAGTCGCTGTCAGCACAGGGGCAGCTGCTCCCGGGTTTTGCAGCACCTACTGCACTTCTCTGCTGCTTCCCAGCCCTCTAACAGCAGCCACCACTGTTTGACTCTGTCACCACTACCTCTGCCATCTGCACGTCCTGCTGACTGCCTCAACAATGAAGAATATTTATCTCCAAAGCTGCTGGGCCAATACCTGCAGCTGAATGCACAGGGGCACTGAATCCACCCACCCCTGCTACCATCCTCCACCAGGGTGGGGAGAGAGGGAAGTTGCACCTGGAGCTTTCCTCTTCCTCAGCCTGAATCTACCACCCTGCTTTGCAAGGCAAGCAATGATATTCCATGCATCTGGTGCAGGCATAATTCAGCCTCTTCTGCACATACCCTAGGCAAAGAAGCCAAGGTCCTTCCCATTCCTGTTCACAGGCTCCCCAGACTCACATTGCTTAGTTACACCAAAGAATGAGGGCATCAGCTGCTAATCTGCAGCTTAAACCTCTTAAGAACCTGTCTGTCTCCTTTCCTCACCTGTCCCATCCTGAGCATGTGGCAGGTGTAGCAGATGCATCTTGAAGGGAGTTCCTGGAAATGGGAAAGCACACGGTATTCATGGACCACGGTGGGGTTGAATAAGCATTTCATTTCACTAAGGAAATCCACATGTGGAATTTCTTGCTGAAGAGACACTGTCAGGAACAGCCTCTCCAGGAGCTGCCCTGCAGCACTGTTAGTTACAGACCACGCACTGCAGAGCACCCAGGGGCAGCTCAGGCCTCCAAGTTGCTGCTGGTAGCGTTTTATCCCGTCTGCTCATGCAATGCACTGATCTGCTTGGAGAGCAGGGGCGCTCACACATGGAGAGCTATGAGGAAGGGGTCATGTTCCCTCAGCAGAGCACAAAGGAAAGCCAGCACATGGGTGAAGGGAAGAGACGTGCTAGCAACACTCGGCAGCAGCAAGGAAGCTCTAGTACCACGGGAAGGGTCTGCAAGGGCAGCATCCTGATGGCCAAACAGAGCACCCTGCTCTGGGAGGGGATGGACACTGCCTTGATGTGTGCTCCAGCACTGCTCAGCTGGTCTCATTGATTGCTACACTAGCTATGAAGACCACAGGCTTTGCTGAAACTTTAGACAAATTAACCAGGCCAGATCCAGCCCATAATGCAGGGCACGACATCGATGGGCTATTTGAAAAGGAGAATTCACTCCAGCTTGAGGACAATTATGGAAATAATAATACACAATCAGTGTCCATTAACACTGTCAGCAGGGCTGTGGATCAATATTGTATTAATGGCTGAAGAAAAACCAGCCATACCCATCAGTCAGCAGTTAAGAGCAGCACAAGAGCAGAGGGAGAGGAGGTGGCAGTGGGTGGGTGTAATCGAGCTCAGGCATTGCATGTCTTTGTGCAGCCTACCCAGGGGAGCCCATTTTCCAAACCAAGTGCCACCACCATTTTCCAAAGACATTCCCCTGGCTGCTTGCTCAGGGGCCTCCTTCTCCTCACCACAGCCCCTCACAACCTCTTTGACCAGTGAAATGGCAAAGGGAGCCCAGACCCTGCAGGGAACTTTCCCCATGGGAGGTGCTTGGTACAGTTCAGTCTGATTAAAATTCATCTTTCAACACAAGGCCAGGCTGGTCCCCCAGCACAGAGAGAGGCAATGCAGAAAGCCCAGAGACAGCTGAGGATCAAAGCATATCCATAGTCCTGCGTCTCCTCCCGCTCCTTGGACTTCTGTCTCCTGTTGACTCTTCCAACATCATGTGCTCTTTGGGCAGCTCTGTGCTGCCACAGTACTGTCCTAAACCAAAAGACATCAGGAAGCCCTCCCTGCCTACTGACACTAAGGGGTACAACCCCAAACAAGGCAGATCTCCACTGAAGCTCTTTTGCTCTCACACCCTGGTGTTTTCACTGCTGCCCAAATCACATATGCTCAAAAAAAAAAAAAAAAAGCTTATCAGGAAACACATCATATTTCAGTGGCAAAATGTCTCTGACTCCTTTGGTGTTTGTACACTGATCATGATTAAAACACAAACATCAATTCACCCACAAAAAAACCACATCCAAGATATGCAAAGAACAATGTCTGACCCCACATAACTCTTCACAGCTGCTCTTGAGCAAGAAGAAAAAATAAAATTTTCAATGAGAAGTGCACAGGGAAATTACAGAGGTGTGGAAAGTAATCACAGAGCATGAAACTCAGCTATTTGAAATAGCATGGGATTTTTCTTCACTTGGAAGAGACCAAGATTATGTCTTTACATCTCTCTCTGATTGCATCTCCAGAAACTGGGTTTCTTTTTGTAAAGCTCAGCCAGATGATTTCCACAGTCTTAAAATAACTTTTTGCTTAATCAATGTCATTTCCTTGAAGCATCTCTATAATTTTATTTATTTTAGAAAAATGCCAGCAACAAAATCATGAGAGATGTCATGAATAGCAGGTACACTCCCCAGCAACTGCAACACCTGCTCTTGAGACCATTGTTCAACTTTAAACCAAAGCAGTATTATGTGCTTTACTAAAGTGTCAGTTACCAGATCATCACTGATCACCTCAATCCCCAACTCCACTGCCTGCAGCAGCTCGCTAGCTTTCCTAGATGTTCCCAAAATATTCTTACATAGATCCACGTAACTGCAAGGATGCTAAGTAGAAGAGCAAAATTGATCAGCAACTTTGATAAGAATCAAGTGACAGATGTTACACACACAGAACATTATGGTGGCATAAAGCCTACACTACTGCTTCTTATGCCTGAGTGGAATTTCTACAGACAACTCAATGCCAGCAACATGAAGTAGCTTCTCTTCAGATCTTTAGGGGCTCTGGATACAGCGGCAGTCAGAGCCTGCGCCTCAGCAACACTATCCTGAAAGATTCCAGCTTTGGTTGGGAAATGAAAAAAGAATCCCTGTCTCATAATGGCCCTAAAAGAGACTTTACCAACACTCCCAACCCACCTCCTGCTGTGCCAGCTACAGAGTCTGACCTGTATCTCTAAATCTTGGTGCAAAATCCAATGAGCCACAGAGCCACAGCTGGTGAGGAGATGCTGCCAAGTTGATTGCTCAAAATATTGTACATTTCTTCTCTGGTTGCCACTTAAACCTCCTGAGCATTTTAGAGGAAAACATAAATCAGGCAAGCAGTCTGGGGGAGAAATCCTCTAATCTACAAGATACAGACCACTAACAGAATGTCTTGTTTGTCAGCAGGTAAAGTACCCAAAAATGAAACAGCCAGAGAAAAAAGGGCAGAGAACAAAGAGAGGAACTCAATTGGACATGGGCAGCACAGACACTTGTTTTTCTGACCCGTGCTGCAGGAACAGATGAGTAGTGCAGGACAGGTGAGCACCAGGCTCCTTGGTAGGTTCGATCATTTGTATCCTTTATGTAAACTCCCACCAGGTCTCCAGTCTCCTGAGCCAATCTCCAGCTGCTCCATGCACCCACCACCCTCTGAAGGGCAATGAACAGCTACAGGCATTCAGAAAGACTGCAGACCCTTGGTTTCAGCTTTCACTGTGCCCATCCCCAGGGGCATCTGAGTAGCCAGATCACCAGAGAGCCAAGGCTAGCTCAGATGGAGATGCAACTCACACTTCTGCTCCCCCTGTTTTGCCTCTCTGTCACAGCACTCAGGAGCCACTGAAGCTGCATATCCCCACTCAGACAGGAAAAATGCCTTTCACAAACATGCTGCAGCTTGCCAGCACTGGTAGCAAAGTCCAATAGATGATGTCCCCACCATCTGCTGCTAATGACTTGTGCAGGCAAATGGGCTTTGTTTGAATGGTCCCAAGGGCTTTACCCTCTCTCCCCTGAATTCAAGATCAGCGCATTTCCGAAACACCACTGGTGCTGCTTCTTCTGCTTTTTGTCCTTTTTTATACTTTAAATCCCTTTGGTACAACAGTGACTCTTCAACAAAGAGGTCTATGTGCACAGATCTTTAAACCAGAGTACTTTGAAACTTATCTGTTGTTTCATGGCTGGATCATTAGACATAGGAAATAAAAGGAGAGAACAACACAGACACTTCAGTCCTTCAAAATGGGGAAAAAAGTCAATTTGCTAATCATCTGTCAACTAGATTAGCAGCAAAGGTGCATGAACTCCAATCAATGAATAACTACAGGCTCCTTTTCATATCAAAACCAGAAAAAAATACCAGATGACAGCTGTTGTTCCTGAATCATGAAAAATAAGGCAAAGCAAAGGTAGTGGTTTCAAACTGGATTCCCCAGCCAGTGGGACACAGGAGGAATGCTCCAAACTTTGCTGGTGAAAACTCTACCAGAGTCACACCCATATGCTAAAACCCACTCTGGAAACACAGAAAGAGAAACTAATTCAAGCTCCAGGTATACCAAAAACAGTAAGAGAAGAAATAGAACAAAAACCAAACCAGTATTCAATCAAAGTACACTATCAGAAAATGCATAGGGATAGGAACATTTCCATGAAACACCACCTGATGCTGTTCAAAATGCTAAACCCTGAAGTGCAAATTCTTCAGTTCTGAGGTGGAAACTGCAGGCTGGTGGGCAGGAGAAGGACTGACAGAGAAGAGCTGTCAAAGGAGAGGACTTCTCTCTCTACATGGGGAGCCCAAGGGGAGGATGCATGCATAGGGTTGCTAGCCCTAGAGGATGGGTGTGCAGATATGGGGCAGGAAAGCAAGGCACTGACTACCTGGTGCCTCAGTTCTCCTGGAAACATCCCTATGTACATGTCCAAAGCAGCTCCACCACTGGCAGAAGAGTTTCTGCAGAGGTACAGAGCTCTCTGCAGACCACAAAACCCCTCTGTGAAGCTGGGTAAATACTCAAATCAATGCTAAATCCTCACCTGTCACAGCTCCACTGCTTCCAGGGCCCCATCCAGACGGCTCAGAGTGAGCTGGGGATGTGAGAGCAATCATGCCATGATGGCAGTGCAAACATTCTCTTCACGAAGCAGAGGAAAGATTCAACAAATGGCCATGTTTACCTACTGCTATCCCCATCTTCCATGGAAAGCTAAAGGCTATTTCAACTGTGAAACAGAGGGCAGGAGGGGGGGACAGGGGAATGAGAGCAGGAGAGAGTGGTAAGAGCCACAAGAAAAAGCCAGTGAAATAAAATTTCACTGAAAGCCTGTTCAGAACAAAGCATAGAAAGAGATGGAAGTACAAACGCTACCCTTAATTCAACTATCTCAAGCCCAATTTTACTACTGAAAAATGATGGGCAGCAGGGACTTCTCTCTGTTCAAAGCTGTAGGAACAGCAGTGCCCATCACACATCCACCCCACATCCCCTGCAGCAAAGTCACCTCTCAGGGGATCAAAGCACAAGAGCTGCTCTCAGCTCCAAGCCACTTGGTGGGACAGGACAGGCAAACATGGCACCAGCCCCAGGGTGCTGCAGAGACTTGGCACCCCTCTGCCGGGTACCCATCTGCTCCCACCAAGTTCCAGGGATGGAAATGGGTGCTGCTGATGATACATGGAGGCTGCCTGTGACACAGCCTCTCAATGGAAAGAAGTCTTTGTGCTTTAATGAGTTCCAATGCAGCCCCTCACAAAACACTGAAGCTTTTATCCCGCAGGCAGTGCTGTTAAGCAGGGAAGGGCTGCTATTGCACTCTGGCTCTGCCATCGTCGGGTGGGAAGCCTAAAGCACAGCCAGGGATCAATCCATACCTAATCCCAGTCTACAATGCAAAGGCCAAGCTCCATCCAAAAGGAAGGGAGAGAGCATCAAAAGCAAATGCCAGCAAATTGTCAACAGAACTGAGGCAACAGAGGCTGAGTGACACCACTGGAAATCAAGCCAAGTAATGTTTTATCTTGACAGCATCTTTTACGTCCCTACAGTGCCTTTGGTGAGCAGAGTCCTAGAAAGTCCCTGGTACTTTCCCTCTTGAGTACCAATAATTAACAACCACAAACTGGCAAACAAGTGAGCAATTCCCTCCGGTTCCGATAAGAGGAGCTGACATGTCCCTATCCCCAGCCACCCCCATTGCTTTATTCTCTTTGTTTATTGATCCTTTTATGCACATAATGCAAATTGACATTTAATAATTCAGCCGAGTTAATGGTGCTTAAATATTAAAAGGCTTTTCTCTTTTAATTAGCTGTAACAAAATAGGCAACAAAGGAGTGCTAGATAGACGCCATTTAAAATACTCTTGTCCAAGTTCCTTGGCATTTTTCTAGGGATGGAGAAGAATAGTTCAATGGAAATTTTGTACAAGTCTCCTACTCTCACCAGGAAAGTAACTAACCCATAGAACCATTTCCAGAAGCTTTGATTCATAGAGCATATTAATCTCTGTCAACTCTTTGTTTTCTCTGCCTTCTCTCCTCCTAATAAAGACAGGGAGGAGTGGAAGGAGGGGCAGAGGGTGGAATGAAAATCCTTCCCCATAAGAAGTGCCAGAACCCATGTAACATGTTGCAGATGTGGATGCAGAAGTCTTCTGATACATCATTGCAAGACCTGCATCCAGGTGAAAACAGAGCTAAAAGGTAGCAGTGCACACAGCTATTTGAAGGGTTACAAACAGCACAGAAATCTTGCAATTATTCCCTAGGGCAAGAATAGCTTATTCAGAAAATTAATTGAATATTATACTGGGAAAAAAAAATCCCATATATAGCAGGGTAAGGGAGCACTCATTTCTCTTCTGCTCGCTATGCCAAGGGTTCAGAATAAGAGGGAAAATACATGGTATCTTTAAACCTCAGTTCCATCTCAGCTGGAGCTGATGGCAGTAATACATCTTAGTCATAATGTTGCTGGTGTGACTCACCATAACTGAAAAGACTTGGTATAATTTGGGGTGTTTTAACTGTGCATACCTCCTCTCTGAATTAGTGCTCATTTGAAGTCCTCAATTCGTTTGAGTTTGGGATAATGATTTCCCACCTAACCCAGAGGAGAACCACATAGTCACAATAATTAGATATAGAAACTGTTAATAACTTAGTTTAATTACAACCCATTTTCTTCAAATTTAGGCTAGACATAAGATTTCAATGAATTCTAATTACATGCCATGTTTGAAGAGCCTGTGTTATTACATTATTAATTCCAGACAAAGAAACAGACTGACAAACACTAAATTCCTTACTGAGGATACTTTAAAAAAATTAATCTTAATTCAAGTCAATTAATATATTGACTTGCAAATTCTGTGCAAATTCATTCTTCGAGGGAGGACTACACATTGTAAATCTGTAGAGGGTAAGCTGCATTTTTCACACGTACCAAAAATATAAATTTCCCAGTTTATGTGCAAAGTTGAGTTCATCCTTACCACCAGATCTGCTGGGGGCATTTCCACAAAACACTGAGTCACTGTTCTGAAGCTGCCAGGCAGGACATCATGCCAAAGGATGTCCTCACATAAAAAGGCACTCAAGGACTTCAGGATGATGGGAGAGGGCAGAGCACTGGTCCTTCTGACCACGAGTGACAGGGATGTGCAACACACACAGCCTTGTTCACAACCAGCATCCCCCCACGCACACAGGAGAGGGCAGTGGTGCATATCTGAGACTCAGCCCATCATACTTTTATGACCGACTTTAAGGTGGCAAAATTCGGGTGCAGGAACTGCTACTTCATCTCCCCTTGCACACAAAATCAAGAAGACTTGGACTCCCCATTGCTTTGGCAGAACACGGGGAACTCCTCCTTGCCTCTTGTGAGGATCTGCATAGGGAGCATTTTCTGTCACTCCACATCCACCACATGCAGCTCATGCACTGAAATACTCTTGACACCATAACAACAGTTTGCATTGTTTCCCTTTAATAGAATATCCATCTACTCCTCTCCAGCTGTGCAGCACATCTGGCTCACTGCCTCTCCTGGGCAAGCACTCCTTGCCCCAATTTTCTATTTATTGTTGCTCAGGAGGCTTAGGAACTGATAAGGGAGTAAATGCCTAGTGGACAAGTGGCATCTCCAGGCGTTTTCAGAGGCAATAAAACACAAGTTCACTTGCAGCCTCTTCAGTTCTGAGCTACCACTTCTGGCCGTCTGTAGTTGTCAGGACTTAAGGAATGCAGTTAACTTGTGTCACAGCACTGCCAAAGAAGGAAGTTTCCTTAAGAGAAGCCACCACAACTGCCTAAGATGGGAAACAGGAGAGCGTTAATTTCCTGCAGGGATGTGAAAGGTTTGGAATTGGCACAATAGACAAAATTCCACCATGCATACTGGGGGGAAAGAGCAGATGGCAACAACAGGAAGATGCCAGGCCTGGTGAGGTGGATCTGGGCAGCCTATCTGGACAAAAATTCCCATAATGGCAAACTGTGAGAAAAGGAAGCAGCTGATTACAGACATGCCATCTCAAGCTGTGGGAATGGCACATACATCTCCTGGACTGTATAAAAGTGGTACCTCCAGAAGAACACCTGAGGACTCCCACCACCAAAAAGACCAGCAGGAACCCATGTGGTGGTGACTACAATGTGTCTGTCTCTCTCTAACACCCTCCCCTCCCTCCCACCCCTTTCTATCTCTCTCTCGACTTCACATTTACTGTTAAATAAAATCCATACTCTTGACTTTAGCATATGGTCTCATTTGCACCTTAATTTCGGCAGAGGCATCTTTTAATAATCAAATCCTAACATAATTTTGTGTCATAACATTATTTTTGTGTGAGAAGTGGGATCATAACAGCAGTCTTCTTTCCACTTGCAGCTATTCCCAGTAAGATGGGACCACACTCTGGATATACATGTGATTAATTAACTGGAACTACTGTGATTAATTAACACACTACTGGAAGGCTGTTCCAGCAAATGGGATGAACTTTGGGTCGTTACTATAAAGACCTCTCTCATTACCATAAAGAGCTCTCCTCAACCACAAGGGCCAGACATTGGTCTCAGGAGCATCCCCCAAACCCTGCAAAATAAGGGTAACTCTGGCAATGCCACATCCTGGCTATATTGATGGAATTCATTCTGAAAAACAGCTGGAGCAGCTCAGACGCTCAGACTGGGGAAGAAGAGAGGGAAAAAAAAGAAAAATTAAAATGGATTAGCAAAGAGTTTTGCAAAAAAAAAAAAAGAAAAATCTGATTACAACTGAAACACAGGGAAGGAGAAGTGAGGCAGGCTGATGTTGGCTTGGCTGTTCCCCAGTGAGAGACCAACAGCAATGAACTTAGGAGCAAAAGTTCCACAAAGCAAGGTTATGAATTTATTACTGTGCATCTGTGCAGAGTCAAAAGATCATCTGAAACACCAGAGACATGCAGAGGAAATTGGGAAAGCACTAATCCACATGGGATAGTGTTTAAAATAATTTCTCAGCTGGCTGACTGCACAGGGGGTAAGAGCAGAGATTAATTCTCTACCCAAGATCATGCATTTGTGCAAACATTGTTGAGCAGCTTGTTCAACAGGGGACTCGGGGACTAATGCAGCCCTATCAAAGCAGCCGGGGTCTGGCTGACAGCTTTGCAAAGGAAGTAAGATGATCTTTGACACGAAGGAAATAAAGCTATGAGAGACTAAAATGCTGACAGGCACCAGCCTCAAAGCCTAGGCATCTCTGAAGAGCAAAGCTCTTTAAAGACTTTTGTTCTCAAGCTCTCTTCTGCAAGGGAAAAAGCTTTGGCCTACTTAGGAGAGGCCAAGGGCAGGCTAAGACCTCGGTATATTTTGAAATCACTTATCCTCAGCTCTATTTGAGGTTTTCCTGATATTAGTAAGAAATTTCACTTTATTTAAAACACTCCTGGTCCTTCAGCTGCATGTGGAATGACACAGAGCAGTCCGACCCTTGGAGAACGGAATGATCCCTTGGTCTCTGAAGGGGACAGGAGAAAAGCAAACCCCACAGAGAGCAAGGTCTCAGAACCAGTCTCCTTTCTTAAAAGACCTCAACCAACCCAGCCTGCTGCAGAGCACTCTGGGACAAATGAACACAAAACTAGGGAGTGGGCCTCCAATTTAAAAGACCAAATGTCTGCAGAGGGAAGGATGTACAGCTCCTGAAAAAGTGAATTTACTGGAATTTCGATCCCTTAGATGAGCAAACCCTTTGTGCTGCCCATCAGGCAAGGAATTGGTTTACTTTCTAAAATCTAGTTTTGCACCCAGTTTCGGTCCACTCCAATTTTGCACTGAGGGTAAAGACTCTGGATCTCGTTATGCCCCAGAGGAGCATACCTGTTCAGCAGTCCACCAGATCGACAGCTGACACAGAATGTGAAACTGTTTTGCAGAGTTTGTCCCACAAGACATGTCCCCAACCACCAAGGCACCACCAGTCTGTTTCACTGAGATGAGCAGCACACCTGTCTTGGGGCATTTCAAAGCCCCACGTGATGAAAGTTTTCCTGGTATCAATTTTGGGGAAATGACCAAGAACCATTTTGAGTCTTGCAAACAACTTTTGCTAATCCTCATCTGGAGGGACAGAAGTTAGCGTGGGCAAACTTAGAAAACTGGCTAGGGCAGAAAAAAAACAAGTCATGCCTTGCTCCTAGTACAATCAGGACTGCTGCTGTTTCCACAGGCCAACAAGCAAGCATGCTGCTGAACACCCAAAAATGAGCCACTCTCTCATATCTTACAACCACCACGCCTCCAGACTTCTCTCCCTGTTTGCTCATATCCTACAAT